CACCAGAGTATTTTGCTTACTGGAAATAGTAAATTTCATCCTTTAGCTTTCAATTAAAGCTAAAATGAAAGCTTCAATAAAGCTTTTTCATTTTTAAAAAATCATTTTAAAACTTAGGTATCGCGAATTAGTGGAGGTACCCACACTAAGAGAATGATACACTACAGGGAAATGCAAGAACATTTAGGATTTTATTCTCATTCAAAGTAATTCTGTGTTTTCTTGAACTCAATACACAGAGCGGAAGAATAGTTAAGTTTTGTTTTTCTCTGAAAGTTTTTTAGGAACAGAGATGAGTATTTGGTCAGCTATAAATTTGGCATCGAACTTTCAAGAACAAAGGCGATTAATATCACCTTGGAAGTTATAAGATCAGTCTAGTCTGGGTGAGAGAGTTGCGTTTTTACCTGAAAAAAATCCAAGGTACAAAATATACTGTAGAAGTTTTGAAAACATTTTAGAAAATACATTTATTTATTTCCAAAACAAAACAACTTTAATTTCATTCAAAGTAGAATTCTTCCCTGAAGCCACTTGTTGTTGGCCTCTTTGTAGCCCTCCAATGTGAAGGTCTCCAGGATTCTCGTCACAGCTTTTTTTTCATAGATTTCACGTCTTTCAAACGCTAATCCATAAAAAAATTTTGAACATTTCATAGGTTTTCGCGACGTTTTTGCCGAGATGAATACAAAAGATTATCAGAAACATATGAAGTGATTAAAACTTTCTATGGATAAATTTTGAGAACTTGAACTATAAAAGGACGCGGAACACCTTCACTAGAGGGCTATGAAGGGAATCATCAAGAAGTTGCTGGGGTATTATAACAACGACATTAAAGTCGAAGCGTCCTACTTTGAAGGAGATTAGCGTTTTGTATTGTATGGAAATAAATGGAGTATTACTACCAGATCTGGACAGGAGCTGTTTAATCCTCACTTTCCAGCTTGGATAGGGTTTTAAATCGCTTGTAGATGACTTACTTTTTATTCGAACGCTTCTTTTCGACAGACGCAACGTTGCAAGCCTATCGCTACCCGGTCGCTATTTCTATGGCAAATGTTCAGATGAGCGCCCCATTTAATTCTGTTCGCCAAATCAGGCTTTTATAGTTAGGACTCATTATGGTACGTCCACGGAGTCGAATAAGCCTCATTTCCTCTATATTCCAATTGTAAGAAGTTAGTCGATATCCCATTTGTAAGGAGGAAATTTTTTTTAACCAAAAACTGCTACTTTGTGGAACAGACTCCTGCTTGGATGCTTCCCTGAATTCTACAATCTTAATCTCTTTAAGGCAAGAGTCAATTGTTATCTCTCCGTTTTATACTCATAATCTTCACCTTTACATTCAGATTAAATACCTCATTCAGTAACACTATACTTTGAGTGGCTCTCGAACCTTGTATTAAACGAAAATTAGTGAAAAAAAAATGAACATCGAGAGAGAAATATTTAAATTCAAATTCAGTGAATAACTGTAGAAGACTATGGACTTATTGATCTATCCTCTTCGCCATCCGTAATAATCGGTTTGACTAGTTCTGTTGAGTTTTTGCTGTTTAATTTAACAAGCGGTGATGCATGAAATGTGATAATCCAATCATATTTCCAACTGTAAAGCCCCAGGGCTCGGGTTATAAGAGCTGTCATGGCTTCATCATTTCATCTGAATTAATTTTTACCATTTCATTTTCTTGAATGTGTAACCCGTAACATATTTGAAATTTAACTGAACATTAAATGTAAATAGATTTCTCTAATACGGGATTGAACACTAAATAGATTTCTCTAAGAGGGGATTAAACACTAGACATTATGATTTGCAGCTCCATCTAACTAAATCAACTGATAATCAAACATACTAAGTAGAAGCAATAGTAATTCGTCATCAAGGTTTCTTATATGACTACAATAGAACGACCCCCTCCAGTAAGAATCGAACTCATTACAAAATTATAAACAACTAGACTAGCCTGCTAGAAATTACTCCACACAGAGGCAGTCTATAGGCATTGATTGAGTTTATCTTAGTCTGGCACAAGGCTTCAATTCTGCTGCACTCAGTGAGAACCGGGAGCCTTAATGTAAATAATTGGTTTGTGAAACAAGATTGCTAACCATCTCACTATGGTAAGCAATATTATCCCGAAAGGAAAAATCCTGATCTGGTGGCTCGGCTTTAGTTACTTTACCAACGCTGTAAGATCCAAACCCCACCCCACCCCACGTGCCTTTTCTATAAATATATTCACAGTAACTGTTAGGATGAGCTCTTCCCTATGGTATTGTTGTTTTACCCCCTCTCCGCAGACAATGAATTGTACATATGGGGTTTAGTTAGGACTTTCATAGAGACAATGAGGTATTATGGTGGGTGTAGTACGAAAGGTAAGTAAGAATGCGTTGTTTTGGTGTAAAGAATATTGTACATTTAGGTCAGTGTTTGTGGCTAGCTAAGTTTAAAGTTGACAGAAGAAGACCGTCCTTTTCCCTATTCCCCATTTTGACCTTGTGCCACACTTCTGTACATAGCAGAATAAATATCGGTCTTCCCTATGATACCTAGACTTTTTGAATTTAAGCGTAGTACTAAACTGACGTCGAGATCTCACCAATTTACTGTTTAGCTGATTAGCTGTAGCTGTAAATTCTATGCGAACAGTTTTTTTTCTCGCACTTCTCGCTTGTGGAACTCTCTTTTGGCTCCATGCTTTCCAGCCAACTTTAATCTGCAAAAATTTAAATGCAATGTCAATCGCTATCTTCTGACCTCCTAATTATTCTTTTTGTTCTGAGTCATTAGTAATATTTCTGTTTCTAATTCTCCCACAACCTATAACTCCTTGTGTTTTAGTGGTTTTACTGCTTTTCATGGGATGAAGTCGATTAAAAAAATATATATATACATATTTTTCGAAGGTTTTATTCTGGCACAAAACCACGTGAAAGAGAAGAAAGATCATGTTGCATCAGACCATGGACCATGACTCTTATATAGAGTTCAAATTATATAACGTATTTTGTCTTAACTTACTAACTTTTAGTCGTTGACCATTTTCTCTGTTCTCTTACCGCTGGAAAAAAATCATTTACCATAAGCAGACGACACAACAGTGGCACCAACGTCACGAGATCACTTGACGTTCGAGTATTGTTTTTATTATAAATAATGAGAAGGAAAAAAGAAATGGAAGTGTAACCAGAAGACAAATAAAAAGAAAAAAAATGTGATAACACTTTTTTCTAACTCTCAAGAGAATGGCGCTAAATTTAGATAAAAGCTGGATTTACTTGAATCGCAAAGAAAAAAAACAACAGTTCATCTCTTTACATGAGTATATTTGCGTGTGTGCATTTGTTGAAATATTAACGTCTATTGGCTGTAAAGCGTATTTTCTTGCAAGTATTTTTCCACTTAGACTGTTACAAGGACAAATGTATGGATAACACTACGTAAGCATTTGGTCTGCGTTTATTACGAGGTATGTATATAGGAGGGAATAAAAGCAAGAATATTTAATAAATTTTCGCGATAGAGGACATTTTAATTCTCATTTTTTTTTATCTTGGTGTTAACATGTTATAGACAGAGAGATAAATAGACTGACAAGTTACATGTACCAAGTAAGTTTGATAATAGTAGTGGGAGCAAAAAAATTCCTTTTCTTTTTCCCTAAATCGAAATACATGACTACTTTCAAATCAATCATGACCAGAGAATGACGGATGATTTCGCCTGGCTATCAAGAGAGAAACATTTTCTTGTTCCAAATGTTTACCTTCCCTTCCGAATATCGGAAATCACATTCTTAGCGAGCTACTATCTTCCGTGGTGAGATGCCTACGGGGAATTCTCTATTGGGACACCGCCCTACACAACACCCGCTGACGGAGCCTTGACCTAAAAGCAACTAATTTTGCGCACGCGCGCGCACACACACACACACACACACACACACACACACACACACACACACACACACACACGCCGTTTAAAATTTGCTATATTTATGGGAGAAGAATGATCAATATCTTAGAGCAAATGTAGATATACTGACAGCGTGGACATAGGAATTAAATATATATATATATATATATCGCAGATAGAGCGAATGTAGATACATTGACAGTGTAGATATAGGAATTGAAACTATATATATATATATATATATATATATATATATATAATAAATAGAAAATGGCGCAAACACTCGAGTCCGAGGACGGCTAGCTAATCCCTATTGCAGACACTTGCTCAGGCACATTTATGTTTGTTCTACACCCAACAGAGTGGTTGATATTGCAGCTATGCTGAGCAGACCTTAGTTACAGTTTTTGGAAGAGAGCTCATTATCTAGCGTGATCATCAGTCTGAACAAGGCCAGCCCACTCAAACCCTCGGTTACGATGACTTGTGACCTCCTGCTAGCTTAACCACCGACGGCTACACAATTTCATTAACATGGTATGGTTTTCAAGCACTTTCCAAAGGTGCAGCATGTTGGGATCACCCCTCCAGACGGATAACATCAAAAGTTCCCTTGCCTGACAAATCGACCATGGTGAGATTCGAACCAGGGTTTAATGGTCAGAACGTGAGCATATATGCAGGTGTATGTGTACCGCCTAGAAAGAACTACCTCAAGGTTTAACAAATTTAGACAAAGCGATCTTCTGTTAAGATACTCTAAAAGTCTTGTAACGCACGGCACATGGCATAAAACCCTAAAAATAAAGAATTATATTTCTATTCTATGTCTTGTTATGAGGATAAACGGGTTCATCTTGCTTGTTGCGCATGTTGACAGGAATTTTAAGTCATAATAATATGAAATAGGCAAGCACTTTTTCGCTTTCATTAAAAACAAAAAAACAAAAAAAACATTTTACGCTTTTTGTTTCACCGCTCCTTTGATTCTGATGTATAAAAAAATCAAATTTTATATCAGTTCAGACTGTCAACTTTAAAGGGTTTAATCTATGACCTTGACACTCTAATGGGGGCAGGTGAGGTGAGGCTAACCTATGTTAGGGTATCGAATTATCTGGTAAAGATAACCTAAATTTACCTTTCTAGGTTTTCGGGGTCAATTTGAACAGAGATAAATACAACTATATTTTTTCTATCAGCCTGGGTCCATTTTGTATAGGCACGTATCAGTGGTGATGTTCTAAGCGCAGGCCGAAAGAGAGGATCGAACTCAATACTCAGTCGGAACTTTTCTAGGGAGACGGGTTTGCTAAACATTATACCACAAAGAGGTGCCCATATGCATGTATCCGTGAACTTCGATATGTGTATATGTGTGCGTGTATTTGTGTATGTATGTATGTGTGTGTGAAATAACGCGCGCAAACACGTCGATGTATTTCTTCGCTGAGAGACAAACGCGAACCTGTTTATTTTTTTACGCTCAGTTACTGCAAGAAACATCACATTTTTGGAGTCAAGCCGATGTTTATAGATCCATTAGCAGGCTGTTACTATCTATCTATCTATCTATCTATCTATCTATCTATCTATCTATCTAAGTCTATTCATTATCTATCTATCTCAGTCTATTTGTTTCTCTCTCTCTCTCTTTCTTTTCTCTCTCTCTCTCTCTCTCTCTCTCTCTCTATATATATATATATATATATATATATATATATATATATATATATCTTTGTCTATTCGTTTCTTTCTATCTATCTACGTCTATTCGTTTCTATCTATCTATCTATCTATCTATCTATCTAAGTCTATTCGGTTCTATCTATCTACCTATCTATCTCAGGCTATTTGTTTCTATCTATCTATCCCAGACGTCCTGGGTAAGATGATAAACTACATCCAACAACAAGGCCTCTGATCAGGAGGTTTTGAGGAGCGTGGAACTACCTCTTAATTGCTGGTCTTCCCAGGTCCATCCTGACTTTGAGTGGTAGCACCTGTTAGGTTCCCAGCTATGAGCAAATAGTTAACCCCATAACTAGGGTCAAAACACTATGAAAATGTAAAAATAGGTTTTAACCAACAATATTTTTTTTGTAAAAAAAATTAACAGCAACAGATTTTTGAAGAAAAAATTATTACCAGCAAAAAAAAAATATTACCAGCAATAAAAGTCTTGTTGGCATTAAATAGCATATTGAGGTTAAAATAAAACAAATTAAATTAAATCTATCTATCACAGTGTATTCACATCTATCTCAGTTTATTCGTATCTATCTATCTATCTATCTATCTATCTATCTATCTATCTATCTATCTATCTATCTATTCCATTCTGTTCGCATCTCTGCGCTTTGTGAGCTGCCGAGCCGGGTGTCTGTCGAACTCTCTGCTTGCAGAGAGGAACCCTGACGAAGCTCCGCCGAAGGGTAGGGTTTCGTTGGGGGAGGTTGACGGAACTAGCCTGCTTGGACGGGTTTAGATGGGTTTATTTTGGCTGGGCCTACGGGCTCCGGACATACCCACATTAAAAAGGCCTTGTGCCACATTCCAATTCCTGTGGGTGAATTGATAAATACCATCTCTGTCTATTCGTTTCTTTCTTTCTTTCTTTTTCTTTCTTTCTTTCTTTCTTTCTTTCTTTCTCAGTCTATTCGTTTCTATCAATGTACCTGTCTATGAGTCGTTGTCTTTTTTCTTTGACAGTCATACGTTGATTATTCCGCCCAGTCACTGCGAAAACCATCACATTTTTGTAGTCCAGTCGATGTTTATAGATGAATCAAAACCAGCCGAGGGAGGCGCTGAAAGGAATCCCATTCATACGCGGATGCCTGCAGCTTTTTATTACTGACTTATAGTTGTCCCGTTAAATACGATTGACATGCAGTGGGTCGGTAGATTCTAGGTTACCACGAGAGAAGACCTTGAATAAAAACCATCCCCACATACTTCACCAAGGACATCATTTTTACATGAACATATTCACTTTAATTTTTTGGCTTCCAAACAAGTGTTTGATGTAGGTTGTATGTAATATTACACGGGGCCAGTAGTTGCGTGTATCGATGCAATAAATGTAGTTTTAATTTTAGAATTGGGTGTGAGAGAGCGTCGAGTGAAGTACTCAGCATGTGTGTGTGTGTGTGTGTGTGTGTGTGTGTGTGTGTGTGTGTGTGTGTGGGCGTACATCCTCAAGAATCAATATAATCAAACTGTCAAATGTCACCTTCGTTGGGTGGCTGACTTATTTGTAGTGACCTTGAAAAAAGTTAGCAAACGTGAACTATTTTCGTTTGGGTAGTGGTCCTGTTACTTTCCGTCTCGTTTTCTCCCTCAGTCTCGTTCTAACTCTTTTTCAAAAAAATAAAATAAAAAAAATGCTCACATGAACTAATGAAAGCAGTCTGAAAATGCACATCTATCTATCTATCTATCTATCTATCTATCTATCTATCTATCTATCTATCTATCTATCTATCTATCCAAGTAGGTTGACAGGTAGGTAACTTAATAAGTAGATAAACTATTTCATCCTTGAAAATAGCTAAATGTATAGCCAAAGCGCTCCGGAAAAAAAAAATTCGAATAGTTTTTATATAATTTACCAT